AGGTAGGTGTGGAAGCACCTGGTCTGAGGAGCATTTAAACATCTATATACGGTGCATGACCTGTGTATGGATTAAAGAGAGTTGCTCAGCATAAAATTAGAATAATGCCTTTGAATTTTCATAGTGTATATTTTCCAAGTTCTTCAAACTGTATCATCAGAAAACCAAGGAGAAAACAAGTAACACTGTCCCTGCTTTACCAAGAAGAAATTAAGACAAGGTTAGATGAAGATAATTGATTCAAACAGCAAAGAAATTGAAGAAGCGTCTCTCGGATCGAAATCCAACTGCATGGCACCTGATTTGGACCATTATATTTTTCATGAAAAGAAAATTATATGTTTACTTTAGTAGTAGCTCATGCTTTTCACATCAAAACATTTTGACCTATATAGTTTAGACATTGTATTTTTCGTTCTGAGTCCCTGGTAAGTGCAGTGATGTTGCTGACGATAGGCAACAGGCAGTAATGCTTATCATGGAGGAAGAAGTCAGTTGTTTTGAGGCTAGATTAGCACTCCCTGCTGAATCAGATTTTATTGATAACGATGGAGAAAACACTGCTTTCGTACCTGTGCAGTCTCATTGAATAGCTTTTTTTCTTTGACTTATTTCACTTAGTATAATCTTTAAGGTCCATCCATGTTTCACAAATGGCAATGTTTTATCTTTTTATGGCTGAGTAGTATTCCATTGTCTGTTTTATCTTTTTTATGGCTGAGTAGTATTCCATTGTCTGTCCGTCTGTCTGTCTGTCTTATCTCACGTCTTCTTTATCCATTCTTCCGGTGATTGACACTTAAGTTGTTTCTATATCTTGGCTATTGTAAATAATACTGCAGTGAACATAGGGGTTCTGTTCCCATGTTCCTATATATCTTTGCCAATTAGTATTTTCATTTTCTTTGGATACATACCCAGGAGGGGAATTCCTGGATCATCCGGTCGTTTTATTCTTAAATTTTTGAAGAACTCCTATACTATTTTCCATAGTGGCTGCACCAATTTACGAAGCCACTCACAGCCCCCTTTCTCCACATCCTCTCCAGCGCTTGTTATTTCTTTTCGATAATGCCATTCTTAACAGGTGTGAGGCGACATCTCATCGCGGTTTTGATTTGCATTTCCCCACTCGCGAGTGCTGTGGAACACCTTTGCATGTGCCTGTTGGCTGTCGGTATCTCTTCCCTGGAAAAATGTCTATTTAGATCCTCTGCCTCCTTGTTAATCTTTCTGTTTTTGTTGTTGCTGTTGTTGTTAAGTGTGTAAGTTCTTTATGTATTTTTGATATTAACCCTGATTAGAAATACTATTTACAAATATCTTTTTTTTTCCATTTGGTAGGTTGCCTTTTCGTTTCGTTGATGGTTCCCTGTGCTGTGCAGAAGCTTTTTAGTCTGGTGTATGTATATATTTATTTGTGTTTTTGTTTCCCTTACCATCGGAGTCAGATCACGAAACATTGCTAAGACCGACGTCCAGAAACTTTGCACCTGTGTTATTTTCTGTGTACTTCATGGTTTCGGGCCTTATGTTCAGGCGTTTGAACCATTTTGCGTTACTTTTTGTGTGTAGTGTCAGGTGGCTGACCTGTTAGGGTCCCCTGCCTCCTCCTTACCCCGAAGTCCTCCTTTTCTGTGTAGTTTTCGTCAAGCCCGATGACATCTTAGGAGTCTACACCACACTTAAGCATATCGTGATACAAAATGGAAAACCGTGATACAAAATGGAAAATCTACATAATTGGGGGACCCAGAGCCCCGAGTCACACCGGTCCTCCTTTTCCTCGCGAGTCTCTGCAGCGATGGGGAAAAGCCACTCACGGCGAGGCCAGGTTTGGCCCTCACCCCCAGGGAACAAAGAGCGCGTGTTGATAAACCTGTCACTCCATCTTCGGGCCTAAAGGTGTCTTTACCTGCATTGTATTTATGGGAGACAAAAGCAAACTAAACGGTTTTACACACCTCGCAGTGGTCACCGAGTCCCTGCCCTCCCCTCCCTCAGCCTTGTCTTGAAAACTCAAGGACACCAGTCAGACTGGCCTGGGACGTGCTGACGCTCGTTATGAAGTTATTAAGGCTGGCGGGGCTATTTTCTTCCACACCGAACGGCCCCAGATTGCTCTGCTTTTGAGTCGTCATTTTCTTTTTCATCTTGTTTTCTGTCTCTTCCCCTGACACTAGGGGTGGTGGAGATGATTTTAGGGACTTCACAGGGGGAGTTTAGATTATACGTGGACGTGAGCCCCCTAACGCCGCAGTCGTGAAGAGGGCACGCGGCCCCCTCCCACGGCCCCCTCCAGCCTCCCGTCTCGCGTGGCCTTTGTCAGGCCTCTGCGAAGACGCAGCAGCGACGAGGTAGAATTTAATAGCGCTCTTTCGTTTTCATTATATCTATTTTGACACTTACCAGCTGTTTATGGAAGAAATGCCGATGTTATAATTTGGCAGTGACGTGAAGTTTCTTCTAGAATAAAATGACTTAAGTTTACAAAGTCGAACAAAACAGCACAGGTGGCAGGTGGGGACACCATCAGGCAAAACAGGACAACTTGGTTTTTAAACGTCCGAGACTGGAGAGCACTGGCTTTCCCGAAGCTTGGTGTCTCTATCTGGAGTGCGCACGCACGTCCCCTGGGGATCGTGTCAAACGTGAAGATTCTGATTCATTAAGTCTGGGCTGATCCGACATGCTGCATCTTTAACAAACTCCCGCCCAGGTGCTGCTGGTGACTTGGCATCTTGCAGCTTGAGGTTTGCACAGCAGGTCAGCGGCACTGGCATCACCAGAAAGCTTGCTGGGGATGCCAGCCCGCAGGTCCCTGCCCAGCCCTGCTGTGTCTGCAGGCACGAGACCACCGGGGGGTTCCTGGGCACGTTATCCTTTGGGTCACGCTGATCTCACACACGCACAGGGAGCCCTGGTGAACAGGAGGCCACAGCAGGGTCTCCAACCCGCACACGAAGAGCCGGTGGAGGGCTGTGTGCTGGCCTGGCGCGCTCTGTCTTGGCAACACCCTTTCTCTCCAGAGCTTTCCATTCCACCACCCGCCCACCTCTAATCCCATTTGCTCCTTGAGACCCAGGTCTTCTGTGTAGCTGCCTGGATTCTCAGAGTCAGATGCCGGTGGCTGCAGTGTGGCTGGAGAAGGGACATCTATCCTTCCTGGTCCTGATGCTCCTGGAGGACATAATTTGCTCCCGGAGGACATAATTTGATGGATGTATGTGTTCTGGCTGCAGCTGCTCGGAGTGGGGTGAGGAATCGTGTGACAGGCTGGGTGCACGAGGCTTTAAAACATTACCGTGAGGAGAGTAGCACTCAGGGGACCAGTAAAGTGAGGACGGACGGTCTACAGTGGGCCAGTTCCTGGGCCCCTGGCCGGGAGCGTGGGGAAGAAATGCGAACTAAGGTTCTGGGGTCTCTGAAGGTGGGGGCTATGGGACTGTTGCAGGCATGACAGCCTATGGGTGGCAGATTGCATTTTGAAGATGACTGCAACCATCTCTCTCGTCCTGCCTGCTTTTCCGTGATGGCACTTTGCCACATCCCTGCGAAGAGGTGGAGTCAGTTTCGCCCTCTTGAATCTGAGCTGACCTTATCCAAGTGACACCACAGGACTTCCAAGGCTAGATCAGAAAAGACATTTAGCTCCTGCCTGGTTCTCCTGGGACACTCATTCTGAACTGAGTTCACCACAGAGAGAATTGGACTGGAGAGCTGGGAGGGGGCCTGCTGGCCGAGAGCTGACAAGGCAAACCACACGCCTCTGCCCACCACACCTGTCATTGGTGACTGCTTTGCATGTGCCTGGGTGTCATGGATTCTGAGGGTGTGGCAGGGGATGGGAGGGGGAAGAAATAAGGTGGGTGCTTAAGGCCGTCTGGTGTCTTGGCAGCAGCCCCAGAATGTTCCTCATCCCCCCTTCCCTTCCTCTCCTCTGCCTTTTTCCCCTGTCCTAACCTTCCGCCATCTCTCGGAGGCTTGTCTTTCTCACTCTGCCCCTTCCCGGTGGTGAGGGGGGCAGGGCGCCCTCTGGGTGTCGTGGATGGAAGGACTCCACCAGGACTTTGCTCCAGGTCTAGTTCCTGTCGTCCCCGGACGCTGCGCTCTAGCCTGAGCCACCACTCTGCGCTTCGGCTTCCAGTTCACTCTGCACCTCAAGTTCCCAGGGTCTTTGTTACCCTCACAGCTATTCTCGCATACCCAGAACGGGTCCTTGCTGGCGGCTGGTGACAGAAGATTCTCCGAAGTCTCAGTAATTCTTTCGATCCGTCTCCCGTCGGGCCTGGCTGAGGAGCATCGGCGGGGACAGGCTGTCATCTCCTCTTCTTCCCCAGGGGGGCTGGATGCTCGATCCACGCGTGCGCGCGTGCGTGTGTGTGTGTGTGTGTCACTTTCTCAGGAACTGTGTGTGTGCGTGTGTGTGTGTGTGTGTGTGTCACTTTGTCAGGAGCTAAGGCCAACGGCTGAGTGCTCAGCCCTCATGCATCTTTCTGTGTTTCGTTTCAGGTTTACAGAGTTTTTGGATCCGTTCCAGAGAGTCATTCAGCCGGAAGAGATCTGGCTCTATAAAAATCCTTTGGTGCAATCAGACAACATACCTACCCGCCTCATGTTTGTAAGTACCACGATTCCGTGGCTGCTTTGACCAGCCTTCCGTGTGTGAAGCAAACGCGTTTTCGTTTCTGCTTTTCTAACCCCTGCTGAAGATGGCGAGCAGCCTGAAAGAACGAGGTGATGAGCAGCTCAGGTTAAAATTCGGTTCCTAACCATGGTGGGTGCCACTTGGTCCTGCGGGAGGTAGGCATCGCCTGAGACTTTGGAAAGAGAAGAGACTTGCTTACCTGAGCTATGCTGAGTGGTTTCCAGATACTTCCAGTAAAATAAGATTAGAAACTGGTGAACAGATTTTCCTGTTCCAGACTCTCTGACGATAAGCCTTGATTTTGCCAAACTCAGACACCATAGATAGCTCTGTTAATCCCTTTTCTGGTTTTAGGTGGTCAGTCGGTGACCACCGATGAGAAGATCTGTGTGACTCAACCCCTGGATAGTGTCCTGTGTCTCTTGGCTTCTGGAATAAATGGGCAAGCACCTGTGTGGCTGGCAGATATATTGAGTTATTTTTACTTCTTCACCTTGCCCATGGCAGTATTGTCTCCAAGACTGTACTTCCCCTGGGCCAGGCACTTTGCGAACGGCTTAAGAAAGATGTTCTCCTTTGGTTCCACTCAATATCCCAGTGAGGAAAGTGTCATTCTCATCCACATTTTGCAGATGCTGATCTGCTTTCCAGAGAGAGGAGGGGACTTGCCCCAAGCCACACAGGTAGTGAGCGGCAGAGCCAGGAGTCACGTCCATGCAGCCAGCTCTGAGCCAGCTCTCAGCCCTGCGGCTGCTCTGTAGGTTGGAGCAGGGTGTTCCAGACTCCTTGCTGATGTTAATGACTCCTAGGGAGCTGCCATCAGCCCTTTCTGCAGCAGAGGAAATATGTCCAGATTCCTGAGCAATAAGGAAACTTCCGATGGGCAACCTCAGAGCTGGAAGGTTATCCCTGTGGACAGCAGTTATGGCTCCTGCCTCTGGAATGAAAGTGACTATTCCAGAGGGCATGAGAAATATTTTTGCATTTTGGGGGGGAAAAAAAAAGCCCTCTGATTTTATGGAGGAACTCTTGTTAATTAGTGACAATTGGCCTTTGTGTGTGCAAACCCCCAAATGCCCAGAACACTGCAGGGGTGTTAAAATATTATTTTAATTGCTTTTTAATAATTGCTTTCTGCTTGAAAATAAAGTTGATTTTTGTCAATCTCAGGGGAACTGAAAAATTAGGGTGATTATGAGTAGAACGTTATCTAACACTTAAATATTAAAATGGGACTTTTTCCATTTTGGCTCTAACTTGGATCTTCTATAAATCCTAGAAGTAAAAGAACTAGTGTGTCTAACTAGTTTACTCCACGGCTTTAACAGGGAGGTGTGTGTGTGTGCATGCGCGTGTGCATGCACACATGCTGCTTTCTATCACACCCTCATTTGTCAAATATTTCACATTTCATGTGCTATAAAACATAATTTGGAGATAAATGTTCATATGGGATAATGTGAGAAATTTGTGGCTGTGTCCTAGATTTATGTGAACAATGGATTGTTTTGAAGTCTGCATACAAATGCCACAGATATTCTGGGAGCAGACACACGTGGAGGGAGCACGTTTGCTTGTTGGCAGTGGTGGGGAGAGGCAGTGAAGGGATTATTCAGTGCCGTGGGTCTCAGAGAATCGAAGGGTATTCAGCCACAAATACTAATTCACATCCGCTAATCTCCTAATGAAATAAATTCAGCCTTTTGTTTCCTTAGTAGTAGTTGATGAATTTCATTCATTTAGTAATGAGATTTGATGGGATTCCGTAATAACGTAAGGACAGCAGTAGATACACTTCCAACACCTGTAACACAAAGATGAAAAATACCTTGTCACCACATAAATTAGATTTGTTTTCCCGGGTTTTATTAAGAGTTTAATATAAGGTATCATTTGTTTGCTTTGGATCCTTTAAGACCTTCAGGTGTTTATAGAGGAGTGTAATAGGACATATATTTTTACTGTTTTTTTAAAAAGAGCTTGGGTTCCTTAGAAAGCTCAAATTTTATCATTTGAATCAATAATGAATGATAAAACAATCCTGGAGTCTCTTATACTTTTGGTTGGAATATTTTAATCTAAAGGCAAACTTTCTAATTTTCTAACCAAAATGTGTTTTTTTTAAAGGCAGCTGCTATTAACCCTGATGTTTTGTTTTGGGGAAATGAATGCCTCTGGTGTGTGTGTGTGTGTGTGTGTGTGTGTTTTAGAGGAGCCCCTTGGTCAAATGTCACAAAAATGGGATCAGAAAATGCTTAGGGGATTAAGTTAAGTGCAGAGTACACAGTAATAACGTCACCAGAAAGTCCCTAAGTCGTGTTTTCTGTCTTGGGCACAGTCGGCTGAGGTGACTATGCACATCTGCAGGGAAGCCAGGTGTGGTTGGACTGTGTGATTCCCAGCTCTTGGTTCCCATGGTGATGCTGGCTTCCTGTTGACCAGAGAGAGGGCTGAGGATGCTTTTCACATGCACTGAGTCTGACCTACCATGTCCTGGATGTTCCCAAGCCATCCGCTGCCTTTATGGAAGGCTGCTCCCTTATTCAAAAGAGGTCCTGGTGCCTTCCTGAGCATATGGGGTTTATCTAAACATCTTTGAAAACTTACCTTTTGGTGTAGGAGGACGCAGTCGGTATTGGGTGTTGCTTTCTGGTACACACTTTGTTGTCTGGAGTAGACGCATCTTAGTACACTCAGGGAACACTTTTGGGAGACTGCTGTGGGTAAGGAAAGCTATGGGTGTCAGGAAGTCCAATCAGACTTGGGGTTTGCCCTCAGGGACCCTGCAGGATCCCAGGGGAGATGGTACTTTAGAGCAAAATAGAATCTGGAGAGGGTCAGAGGAGAGGCTAAGGTGAACTTTTTAAGGAGATTTGTTGTCACCATCATCACCATCATCATGGTCATAATGACAAAAACAGGAACTGTGCTCATCACTTTACAACCGCATCTCAGATAATCCTTCTCAGAGTTCCTTGAGGTCGGCACTTTTGTTATCCCAAAATTTCAGTGGGGAAAATGAACCTGTTGTGAGATTTAGCAACTCGTCCAAGGTTATACAACCGGAAGTGGCTGGACCAGGACCTGAACACAGCTGCTGCCAGAGTGTAGAGCCTCCCAGAGCCATTCAGCTACGATGCCTCATGGGGGCTGGGCTGACGTGGAGAGCGGGTAAGCAGCCTGTCACACTACAGAGGAGCAGGTGTGTAAAGGCACAGGCACGGGAGAGAAAGGGCCATGCCAACCCAGTGAAGGGGTCAGAGGAAGGCAGGAAAGGAAGCAGACTGTGGTCGGCTTCAGGTTAGATAATTATTCCGTAATTCAACAGACAGTTACGAAGCACCTGCCTGGAGCCAAGCACAGCGCCGGGCAGTAGAGGCGCGAAGCTGAATCAGATGGTTTCTAGTTTAGTGGCGGTCACAGTCGTGAACGCAAGTCAGATGTTTCAGCATCACAGGAAAGCCCTAGAACAGGCGAGACTCAAGTAAGGAATTAAGAAGTGATAGGTTCCCCAATTTCTTGCCTCGGTTTTAAAAAATCCACCTAAGACCTGTTCTTTGCCCTTGTCTCTTTGCTCGGGCCACGATATGTCCAGAAGATTTATTTTCGTAGACTACTACTTGTGTTGTGTTGATCTGATTACAGGGTTTTCTATTCTGGAAGAGGATGCTTCTAAGGAAGACAAAAATAAAGTCAGTTTTGG